GACCCCAATCCACTCAGGAAAACACAAAGGGCACAGCATGCTGCTCTTATATCTAACAACCGGCTATTTATAACATGTTCAAGTATGAAGGGTTAACTGGAAGCCACGAAGCAATGTGCTTCCTTTCACTAGTTGCAGAAATAAATCCCAGGGGACACTGCATTAACTCATGTCCTTGTCCGTGGCTAGTTCTTGACAGAGCCAAAACTGGAACCTTGTGTCCGACCCTCCCAGTCCAGCACTGTGTCACCTTGTGCAACTTCCTGGCTCCAAAACTTTCCAGCAGGACCTTCACCTGGACTGATACTTTGAGTAACAAAAGAGTTGGGCGATCTTTTTGGCTGACTTTTGCATAACCCACTTCATAACATCCTCATGAGTCACCCTTATCTTTCCTACTGAGTGTTTCCTTAAGGATAATGAAATAAGAGTGAGTTGAAGACAACTCAGCTCAGAGTAGGCCCCTTTTCACACATTTTATACACAGTCACTAAGATCAGATGATTTTTCTCGACAACTGTAGTAGCATCATCCACCATCAAGTGTTGATAAGCTTAGGGGAGTGGCTGTCAAATGTGTCAACATTTTTCACCTGCCAAGAGTAGCAGATAAGGGACTGTGAGCAGTCTGTTTTCTGTCAGTCTATTCATTGATCTCAACGATAGGCAATTTTTAGGTATTTAGCCTCTCTGAATGACATAAACCTTCCGACACTATTGAGTACCTGGGGAGCATGCTTTTCCCCCTGGTCTTCCTTACACCTATCTTTCTTTCTGAATAAGTGCTAATTATTGGAACACCAGGACTGGTGAGCACTGCATAGACTGGTCTCCTCTGAAAGCCAGAATGGAGAAACATTCATGAACCTCAGCCCAAATAGACCTCACACCAAAAACGCACACGAAACTGAATGCTGGTGTAAATGCTCCATAAGAATAAATATAGCTGGGACCAGCAGTTAGTGTAATGGCTATGTCACTGAACTCCCATGTAGCTGACCGCGGTTTGAGTCCCAGACCTGGTGGCTTAAACTCATGCCGGGCACATGTGCATGTGTGCCCAAGATCCGGAGAGGAGAATGGAGGAGAAGGGATTGCGGCATGGCCATCCCTCTGGGGGGGTGATTTCTCGCTTTCTGTCTCTCTGTCTCTCTCTGTCTTTCTGGCGAGCGCATGGGCCCTATAGCAAAAACCTCTCCAAAAAAAAAAAAAGAAAAAAAGAAAAAAAAGAATAACTATAGCTTAATCACACTTAGTACAAATCTGTTTAATGTATGTATAGATGTGTCCTGCTTTGATGCTTTTTAAACCATTGTTCTTGAAATGCTCTGTTTTAAATACAGGTATAAAGCTGGAATAGCTCTCCCCCTTTCTAGGGGGTCAGGGGGAAAGGAGTGATTATCATTATAGCAAGTCTTAGCGAGGGGTGAGTTTGACAGAGCTCTAATTGCAAAGGCGTATGGGAGTAAAACGATTACTCCTCTACTTGAAAGTCATGGTATTAGCTGTTGCTCAGATACTGTCTGCTCAGCACAACTCGCATTTTACTCATTAAGTGACAAGTAAATGTGTCTTAATAGAGTGTTCTTTTTTTTATTACTTTCTTTACTGGGTCAGTAAAACTGAAAATAGTTTTATTCTCTTATCTGGAACTTTTGTAGAAAATCTCATAATTTCTTAAAATGAAAATGTCTTTGGATGAGTGTGGGCATGCATTCGACTTCTAAGTTCTTTAAGGGTGGAAAAGTAGCATGTTTCTGTTTCATAAAATTCTGATAATTATTTTAGAGCAGTTAGTATAATTTGGTGTATGTAGTGTATTTCAAGTTTTTTTCTTACCAACTATGCCCTTTTTGCTTTTAGCAATGAAAGTACTTCCCATATAACATTTTTATCCTCTTCCTTTTGAAAGTTAAATACTTATGAAATTGTGACTTAGCAACAAGAGAAGAAAAATGGATATCTTTATTTTACTTTAAGGCAGGCCGTAGTACAATGTACTAGAAAGAGTTTTGGACTGGGAATAAGGAAATATGGGTGCTGATTCCAGCTGTGCTGTAAGAGAAATTGCTAGGGGAATGGACCTGTGAGTGATTAGACATCAACCTTTGGACCTCACTTTTCCAATTACAAGGTTTAGGAGTAAAGTTAGGAGAGTGAAGTTAGGACCTAGGTTATCTCTCTGTCTTCTAAGACTCTAAAATTTCCTCATTCCATGTAATCAGCATTTCCCTTCTTAACTGAATCCTTTACTACAAAATGCCAAGAGTTGTTATAATGGGATGCATTCGGTATTGTTTTTTCATCTCCCTCTGCTTGGAGACATTCCTTCCTAATTACACAGGAAATCAGTGATTGGGGAAGAAGGAGTGTGTTGGTTTTTATACTTTTTTTTTAATGTGTCTGACAGGTGAAATTAGTTTTGGGGAATTATTTTGGCCTAAATCTGACACAGAAAATTTTCTGTGCATTTTTACACCTGTCCTAAACTCAATTCATAAGCTAATAGGCTACATATCTATATGTTAGTTTATCTATAAAAAATCTTAGTTTAGTATTTTAAAGCCACACCACCCAGTGAAACATTTGCTTGGTGGACATTTCCTGCACTGTTTATTCTGTGTGAAATTTCCATGCCTACAAATAACTTGACCAGGAAAAGTTTGCAAGGATAAAGATCAACCTGAATGACAGAAAGCTAGGGTAAGCAAAAAATGAAAACAAAACAAAAAAAAACAAACATCCGAGAATCCCAGCTTACCCTGAATGAGGGTTTCTGGTTTAAACTTGTTATTTTTGTTTTAAATAAATGGCCAGAATACCAGACATAATCATATTTACATTTAATTGTAGCATCTATTTAATGAAGTATTACTCAGGCACTAAAATATCTCTGAAGAATTTCTAATGACATGTCAATTTGTTTGTAACATGGTGACTGAGGAAACTGGGGAAAGAAATTGTATTATAGTTTTATCTCAACTAGAAAGAAATAAAAATACCAACATAGTAACTCAGTTTTTTCCTACATATTATTTTATGATATTTTTTTCTTTCATGCATGTTTACTTTTTAAAAACACCAAATAATCATTTTTGTTAAAAATTTGGAACACGGATTAGTTGTATATTTTTTGTGGTATTGCAGTTTGGGATTTTCCTATGACTGTACTCACAGAGAGACAGCTCCATAAAAGGAATGACTCATAGAGTCTCAACATGCTCCTGAGGCCAATGGCAGCAGGCCCTGGCTCCGCTGTGACAGTGAGAGTCCAGTGGCCAGTAACGAAAGATGACCTAAAACCAAACACGGTCAACTACGTCAGGGAGATCCCACAAACACTTTTTTTTTTTTCATTCAATAAACACTTACTAAACACCTACCATATGCTAGATAATAGCTACACAGTGGAGCTCCTAGAATAAAAAGACATATCTCAGACTAAAAGAACTGATAATCAAAAGGTTATCAAGACAAGCAAATGTGGTGCATTTGGTGGTGCCATTGACACATCCCATAGCATACTGAACTGTAGTACTGGAAGCCATGTGGTTGTGAGTTCAGATCCCTGGGTAGGCCTGAAAACATGCAGGGCACACTTGCCCAAGATCTTAACAAGATGGACGTCTGGGAAAAGGGGTTCATGGTGTGACAAGATCTTGTTGAGGGTCATTTCTTTCTCTATCTTGCATATGTACATGTTCTCTACCATAATAACAAACAAACAAACAAATACATCTTAGGTGAAAAGAAAAACTACATTTGTGCAGGAGTGATCGTAGTGTAAGGGTGAAGAGGTCAACTTGGCCTGGGGAAATCCAGAGGTGATACTTGAGTCTAGAGGTGGCCACCAGGATGAGGACAGCCAGCGTTCCATCTACAAAAGACATTGAGCATGGTGGATTCTGGTCATTATGATTGTCTCAGTAAGAGTGGATATAGAATATAAAAGAGATGAAGGACAAATGTGGTGAGGAAAGTGACAGGAATGAAAGCATGACTGTCTTTGAATGTCATGCTCCGTAGTGCGGCCTTTGTCCTGTAGATGATAAGAAGCCATCTAGAGGTTTTAACTCTGTAGATTTCCATTGGATTTGCATTGTCAAAGGACGGCTGTGGTAGCAATTGGGACAAGGGAAGAAACCAGAGGTCAGAAGGAAGCTATTATCAAGCCAGAGGTAAAGCTTACCTGAGCTGGGGCAGTGGCAATGAGAGTGAAGAGGCAAGGGTACACTTGTGAGACCGTGAGGTGCAGACAGACCCAGGAGCCTGTTGATGTGGAGTGAGAAGGAGAGTGGACTGAGTCCTGCGATTCTGACATTGAGTGGCTAGAGGCATCATTGGAACAGGGATTATAGGAAGATATGATGGGAATTAGTTTCAGTTTAGGACAAACTGAAAGTTCTTTCCAGCTCTCCTTCCTTCCCTTTATCTCTTCCTGCCTTTGCAGCCCTTCTGTTCTTTCTCACTGTATCCCAGGCACTATTTAAGCCCCTGTTATAGATCCATTGTAAATCAAGTCCCTGTTCTAAGTTCATCGTAAACCAGGCCAATTTCTGTGCATCTTCAGACATTAACGAAAAAAAAAAAAAAAAAAAAAATTAATTTTCCCCAGCCACTACTATGGGGTTTCTCTGATCAGGACCTAGTTAGTCAAGCATAAGATGTAAATTACTGGGCCAGCAGATAGTGTAATGGTTACGTGGCTGGACTCCCACATAGTCAACTGCAGTTCAAATTCCAGACCCAGTGGCTTAAAACTCACACCAGGTACTTATGAGTGCATGCCCCAAATCCCAAGAAAATGGAGGAGAAAGGATTGTGACATGGCCAACCCCCACCCCCCACAGGAGTGATTTCTCACTTTCTGGCTGGCTGGCAAGCCCACATACCCTATAGTAAAAATCTCTCAAAAAAAAAAAAAAAAAAGCACATTACTTTTATTCTTTTATAAGACATGTTTTGTATTAGAACTACCACTAAGGGCAATTTTCTTTACAGGGAGTGCCATTACGTCTGTTGTATTTCTGAAAGAAAATTTGAGAGCCTCAGATTTACTAGGTAAGTAATCATTTAATGCATGTAATTAGAACATTGCTTGATCAGGAAATAAGTTATGCTATCCATAAAAAATATATGCTTTAAAAACTGGAACAAATTACTGAAATGGGTGTAAATCTCTCTTAGAGGTAAACATTTTTCTGTCTTCGAGTTGTCATCCCCCCTCATGTAAAATACTTTCATTTTATTGTGACCACTGTCCATGTTATTGACCACAGCAAATTGTTATTTTTTAGTAATAATAAGAAAATAATAATGTGACACACTTTTTATGACATAATGAATTGTAATAAAAAAAAAAAGGATGTGTTACCTAATAGACCATTCTACTTCAAAGGACATATTTGTTAGGTTGTTACACAAAAGTACTACACGAAAAAGTAAAAGCCACAGAAAATTAGATGTACCATCTAATTTGTGTTTAGCTCTTTCCAAAGTAACACAGAACATTGCTCTTTAAAATTTTATTTGTAAACACAGTTATTAGTGAAAAATAATGATAGCCTTCCTGCCTGTAAGAAAGATTTCTATTATATAGCAAAGCCACTATTTATTCATTGTCTCTTCCAGTTCTTGTTAGAAATATCATTGGTGAAAGGAATTATGGAGATTCATATTTTCTTCCTTGACAAAGTCTTGTTCGAATTGCTGCTGACATATGATAATGAACACAGATACTTTAGGCACTTTAAATAAAACAATGCCTACCCTCTTCCAAGGAGATCATATTTTTTAAAATATCTGAGCTCCGAATGTGACACCCGTGTTGGTATGTTGAGCATGTGTTTTCCCCGATCGTGTTTCCCTGAGGCCTGATGTCTTAAAAGTGTTTTCACGTTTTCTTGTCCTCCTTGGTTTGATTCTGCTAGTAGAGTTTTTAGTCAACGTTGTCAAATTTTTCATGGTTAAAATGTTTTTCTAACTGTGTTCATATGTGAATTACATCTTTCCCAACATATTTTCTGTACTCTTTTTTTATTGATTGTAATTTATAGAATCGTTGGGGGAAATGATACAGAATTAGAAATTAAAATAGCTGAATTTTATAAATTAAAAAAAAGTGGTGAAAGGAATTATGGAGATTCATATTTTCTTCCTTGACAAAGTCTTGTTCGAATTGCTGCTGACATATGATAATGAACACAGATACTTTAGGCACTTTAAATAAAACAATGCCTACCCTCTTCCAAGGAGATCATATTTTTTAAAATATCTGAGCTCCGAATGTGACACCCATGTTGGTATGTTGAGCATGTGTTTTCCCCGATCGTGTTTCCCTGAGGCCTGATGTCTTAAAAGTGTTTTCACGTTTTCTTGTCCTCCTTGGTTTGATTCTGCTAGTAGAGTTTTTAGTCAACGTTGTCAAATTTTTCATGGTTAAAATGTTTTTCTAACTGTGTTCATATGTGAATTACATCTTTCCCAACATATTTTCTGTACTCTTTTTTTATTGATTGTAATTTATAGAATCGTTGGGGGAAATGATACAGAATTAGAAATTAAAATAGCTGAATTTTTATAAATTAAAAAAAGAGGTCCTTTTATCAAATGTTTTAAGGAAATTTTAGTTCTTTTATCTAATGTCTGTTACCTTTTATAGTTATGGTTGGTTAAATCTATTTAATGAGATAATATAGATGCATATAAAGGGGAATTTGCTAATTTTCTTCATTATTAGTGGTAAAAAGATCACTGAGGCAGAACCCCTGCCCTCACATAGTTTATAATTCCTGATAAAACATGTACACAAGGAAGGTTTTTTAGAGGAAAATAATATGTATCGTAATGCCACAAGCCTTTCGTTCAGAACAGCGTTTCTGAAACTCAGCACTGCTGACATCCAGGGCCAGGTCATTCTTCATTGTCGGGAACTGTGCTGTTCTTTGGAGGGCGTTGAGCATCCCTCCTGTCCTCTCCCCACTAGATGCCTCTGGCACCTCCTGCCCCAGTTACAACAACCAAAACCATCTCTAGACATCACCAAATGTCCCCTATGGGGAAAAATCGCCCTCAATTAAGAACCACTGGCTTAGAATAAAGAGAGATTAACTGGGAAGACCAGGCAGAATTTTTTACAGCTGCATAGGACAGGCATAGGCCACAACCAAGGATTCAGAAGAGGGCATACCGAGGGAATAACTCCAGAAGTGTTTACAAAGGTCCAAGACTGTAAGATAAGTTTCCATTTAATATTCTACTGTAATTGCTGCCCATAAGGACTTGGAAAAATAAATGAAAGTCATAACTGTGGAAAAGGAAGAAATAGAAATATCAATATATGAAATGATTTGATTCTATACAAAGGTTCTCAAAGTTTGGTCAAACATGGAATTAAAGCATGAGTTTAGTGCAAAAAAAAAAAAAAACCCTTTGAAACCAAAGCCTAGTTTTTTTCACACTATGTATTTTCCATCAACTTTTTGAATACAACACCCTCCTTGTCACACCTCGCCACTGTCTACTTAGAAAACCAAGATGAACTTGGGGACCAGCAGGTGGCATGGGGGTTAAGGTACTGGACACTCCCACATGGCCAACCATGGTTCAAATCCTGGACCTGCTGGCTTGCTTTCTCACTTTCTCTCTTTCTGTCTCTCTCTGGTCAAATTAATTAAGATAATGAATGAATAAATAAAATTAAATTAACTTAAAAAAAGAAAAAGAATACCAAGATGAACTTAAGACCAGCAAACGGTGTAATGCTTATGCTGCTGGATTCATACATAGTCTATTGTGGTTCAAGTCCCAGACCTGGCAGTTTAAAATTCACACTAGGCATGTGTGTATGCATGCCCAAAGTCCCAAGGGGAGAATGGGGGAGAAGGGATTGCAGCGTGACCACCCCCCCCCGAGGGGGTGATTTCTCGCTTTCTGTCTCTCTCTCTCTCTCCAGTGAGCACATGTGCCCTATAGAGAAAATCTCTTTCTCAAAAAAGAGAAAATCAGACCAACTAAATATTTCTAGAAGCAATAAACTAGCTCAACATTAAAGGGTATAAATTAAAGTCACTCTCACAGTTTCAAATCTGGACTCAGATTCTGTTATCAATAGTGGTCAACCTAGTGTTATTTAACTTTTCTACACCTCAGTTTGATAACAAATACATGACTGTTTTGAGGATCAAATTGAATAATTCACATTAAAAAAACTTTGAAAAAGATAAAGCTTTGTTAATATAATTGTCTTAGTGTCTGATTATCTTTGTTTCCAAGAGAGATTTCTAAAAGGTAAGCCAAAAATGTAACATAAGGAATGAAAAACATACATACTCACCAAGAAATTCAACTGGTTAAATGGCTTGCCCAAGGTTAAATGACTTGCCCAAGGTCCCATAAGTAGTAAATGATGGGCCAGTATTCTCACAATGGCAACCCACTGTAGCATAATGGGGAAGGATTGGTCTCTAGTATCAGAGAACGTTGTGACCCTGGCAAAGTTAGATAGATAAAAAAAAGGTCTTTAATCCTCATCTTTAAAATGCAGGATTAAATGTGTCCGTGCCTGTAAAGCTCTTAGAACGGAGTCACATAATAAATGTTCAATAATATTATCACAAAATAAGTGCTCAGTAATATTAGCCATTAGTATCATTACTACTACTGCCACCACCACTTACCCCTATGCTCCACTAGTTAATCAGAGGAAACAAAGTAGGATATTTTTGCAAAACTTAGTAACTCAGGTAATAGTTCCCACAACTCTGGTTTGGCATGGTTTTGCCTTCATAACTTAGTGCTTTTTGAGTTAAGTGCTATTTGACTGGTAGGTTATATCTGTTTCACACCGTAGTTCAAAGTAACCAATTTTTGCCTTTAGTGTCATAGTAATAAACAAGGTCCTGGGGCTGGCAAGTGGCGTGATGGTTAAGGGCGCTGGACTCCCACATGGCCAACCATGGTTCAAGTCTCGGACCTGGTGGCTTGCTTTCTCGCTTCCTCACTCTCTCTCTGTCTCTCTCTGATCAAACTGGAAAATAACAATGATAATAATAATAAATAAAATAAAATAATTCTTTAAAAAAAAAAAAACAAGGTCTTAGTCATCCGTTGGTTTGTTGGAAAAGTCATGATGCATTTTTGCATTGAAAAATATGTGATGACTTTCCCGAAAACCCAATATTTCATAATAATTCTTTAAAAAAAAAAAAACAAGGTCTTAGTCATCCGTTGGTTTGTTGGAAAAGTCATGATGCATTTTTGCATTGAAAAATATGTCATGACTTTCCCGAAAACCCAATATTTCATACCCTTGCCACCAAGAAGCAATACCATGAGATTATTATTATTTGAGATGTAATAACCCAATAATCCACTTCCTACTTAGGGAAGGCCAGAGAAGGACTTTTCCAACCCTCTCTCAATAATGGGTTAAGTCACATGTATTTTCTTTGGGCCTTTATTGCTTTTGCCCTGAGAAAATTTAGCTTTTTTTGCTAAAAGCAAAAAATGCCTTTTTTTTTTCCTTTCCAGGGACTAAAACCAAACAGGGAAAAGAGTAGTTAGTGGTGTCTTTTAAAGATTAACATATGAGCATGCTAAAAATTAAATTGTCAACATGTAAAAAGGAAAATCACTTATTTTTCCCAGCTTCAAGCAAATGAAAGTTTGTTTTTCAAGATGGAACAAATGAAGATTTTTGGGTCATGTGGAAACAAGCTGAACTAATTTATTGCCAAATGTTGTTCCATGGCTATGAAACTTTTCACCACTAGTCTCAAAGAAATGACCTCACAAAACTCTGTCTGAAAGGAATCACCAGCTATTATTAACTCAGTGACAAGCTTTGGACTAGCTCTAATTTTAGTAGATTAATAATTCTAAATTATTTTAATGATTACTTTTTCTTTAAGAAAAAAAAAAAAGCCACTCGATTTCTCTCCCTTCAATCTGCCAAGAACTATAGTATTTTCCTCTCTCTTCTCCCTTAGTCATCAAAAATACCAAGTTTAATAGTCTGTGAGATCCCAGTTGATTTCAGCCCAGATAATGTCATCATAGAA